TGGCTGTAAAAACTGTTCTGCACAGAGCTCAATATGTCTAGGTAGATGGAGGTGGTCATCTGAATGTCTTTTGAGTTCCGACAATTGGTGTCCTTCTCTCATCATCATCACCATCATCATCATCATCATCATCATCATCCAACAACACCAACAGCTAATACTACTACAACACCAACACCAGAAAAAGCAATAAAAGAACAACAATTTCCTGTAGTTTCTAGCCAGAGGCAACTTTATTGAATTATAAAAAGAACCAGAAACATCAATTTTTATGAAAGGAAATACCAATTTTAAAATAAAAGAAAAATAAGGAAAAAAATAAGAGGAAAATAAGAAGAAAATGCGAGGAAAATAAAAAGAAAAACAAGAGGGAAAAAAGAGAAAATAAAAAGGAAAATTAAATAAAAGTTAAAATGGGAAATATTAGGAAAGTTACAAGAAAAGCGAGAGGAAAAAAAGAGGAAAATAAAGAGAGAAAAAAAAAGATGGAAAAAAGAGGAAAACAAGAGGAAAATAAGAAGAAAATAGGAGGAAAAGAACAACAAAATAAATTATAAAGCCTATCGTGTCCAGTTGCTTCTAGGCAGAGGTAACTTTATTAAATGATCTATAAGTATAAGGAAAGACCAATTAATTTTAAAACTAGAGAAAAATAAGCAAATCTTCCACATTTCAACACAATCAGTACTCTCACATGTCAAGACCACATCACTTGAAATTGAAACAAAATAATTCGTGAGAATAGCGAATATTTATGCTCAGACAAGCACACACAAAAGCTCAAGCAAGCACTCATAAAAAACTCAGAAATACACACAAACAACTCCAGGGCGGGATTGGTTATGTCACAAAGTCAAAGGGGTCACATCGAGAAGGGGGGGTCACTTGCTAGGCCAAAGTCGCAGAGGACGACTGGGGTGATCTCCCCTGGGAAGTGGCATAAAATGTTCTCTGGCTTAATGTCTCTATGTGCAACGCCGTCGCTATGAAGTGTCCGGAGCGCTCGGGCGACGGCGCCAGTCACTCGTGACGCCTGAGACTCGCTCAGACTCAGATACGGTGTTGATTCATACACATAGCCCAGGTCGCCTCCTGAAATCTTGTCGAATACGAAGAAATACGTATCTCCTGAGGTATAGAAATCCAAGAAATTGAGGATGCTCTCGCAGTTCTGGTATCTCTGACATATCTCAATCTCGCTCTTCACTCTATAGAGTCCCTCCCCGCGACACTTCCTGATGACTTTCACTGCGTATTCCCTCCCTGTTTCCTTGTTTCTGAAGGTGGACACTCCACCAACGGACCCGCTACCCAATTTCTCTCCAGTGGGCTCTAACAGGTCAGAGAAACACAAACGGTTCGTGTGTCGCTTTCTTTGTCTTCGCTTTTGTTTACTCGAGTTGGTAGGGAATGTTTCGGTACGTACACAGTCACCGCCAGTGTTGTTTACAGTTGAAGTCTTCGTTGTATAAAGCACTATCATTACTGGCTAGGTCCGTGTTCGTTGTTTGAAGCACTGTGACATTACTGGCTAGGCCCGTGTTCGTTGTTTGAAGCACTGTGACATTACTGGCTAGGCCCGTGTTCGTTGTTTGAAGCACTGTGACATTACTGGCTAGGTTCGTTGTATGAAGCACACAAGCACGACAGGCTTTGTCTGCAATTGATGAATGAAGCACACTGTCATTACAGCTCGTGTCTGCGCTTGATGAACGTAGAACACTCATTAGTACTGCTAGAGTTATGGGTCTGACTCTGTAACCCGTCGAGCTCTCTCGTTGGTAACTCCGACCTCTCCATTACTCGTGCAAATCCTGGTCCGCGCAACGTGGTGGCAGAAGACGACTTGACCCAAGATTGTGGAAAACGGCGCCGAAGATAGGGAAAAACACAGCGCACAAATTGTAGAAACAGGCGAGGTACTGGTCGTTACGACGTCGCGCGAAAAAGTCCGGAACTGAAAGTCCAGCCGAAATCTTTCTCACATGTCTCTGAACGCAAGATAGACCAAACTTGAAAGACAAGCCGAAATCTTTCTCAGATATATCTGAAGGCAAGAAGTCTAAACTTTCAAGTCAAGCCAAAATCTTTCTCCGGTGTTTATGAACACAAGAAATCCAAACTCTCAAAATGTAGCAACAGGCAACAGGCGTATTGATGCGAACTCTAGAACGTCCAACCTCTAAACTGACGCTATCTGCGACTAGTTGACCGGTCCAGGTTTTGAGCAGAATAATTTTAAATTCTTTTTCCTAATCCACGTGTGTAATCCATGCGTGACTGCCTGGTTTTCGGCATAGAGGGGAGAGGAGTAGGGAGGGAGGGACCTGGAGGTGTAAACCGACTGGCCATTCGCCTTTGTGTTTAAAAAAAATTTCAAGCCATCCCAAATCTTTCAATACCATGACATTGCGTCATAAGTGTAAAAATTCAATCGTTACACTTTTTCGCACCTCACCACCAGCCTTTATCCAGGGGGGCTCTCGTGGCCTAGAGGTTAAGGTGTTGGCTTCTCATTCAAAAGGTCCCTGGTTCGAATCCGGGTAGCGACCGAAAAATTTTCTTCTCTAAATTTGTCTCCTTTCACCTCATTTCTGCTCTCTAGCAATGTTCTTTGGTCTGCTTTCGTCTCCTCTTTCTGCCCCCACCCCTTCACCTCCTTTGCCTCTTCCTCTGGGCTCCTGACTCTTTCTGCAGCCTTTCTACTGCTACTCCTTCGCTTCTCCTTACTGCTGTCTTTCTGCCACGCCACTGATCTTCTGGTAGGAAAGATCTACACCTTATAGCCTTCTCGGACAAGGGCGAAAAAATCTCGGAGGGCCCGTGTGCAAGTTGCGCACGTTAAAGATCCCTTGGTGGTCTAAAATCGATAAGAGTAGGCTTCGGCCGCCACCCGGGCAAAATTCAAAATTCCTACCAACTGAAAATATTAGGTGTGTCCCGCGCCCTCATATGACCTTATGCAGTTGCGAGCGCCGTAAAACACTTTATGTCACTACCCTGGGCGGAGTTGTTATTATGCAATCGTCTTAATCCTTAAGTCTTTCTCTGTCAGCCGGACATCATTGGACACACGTGGTTCCCAATAATAGTCTGTAACTACTGGTCTATATAAAGCTTATCAAGAAACGAGGAAACTTTAAAGTTGACTTTGATGAAGAAAAGCGGCTCTTTTTGAAAAATAATAGATGCTATTCCAAGCAAACTTGAACTATCTAAAATGTAATATTAATTATATTTAATTTTAGTGTGATCAAAAATTCGTGGAGCAACTTATTGTCAAATATTTCCTAAACCATCGAACATAATCCTCCAGCTTTTGCAAAACAGCAGATCAATATTTTTGTAAAAACCTGTTAGCTGTATTCTGGAAAACGTTTTCATAAATGCTAGTAAAAAATCCAAGTCATTTGCTTTTATAGATTTTAAAAAGTTTACAACTGGGGCAATACACAATCACTGTTAAAAGTGAGTTCGTCATTTTTTCCCCTATCTTTATTGAACCCATGTTTTGAGAACCTTTACTTTAAAAATGTGTTCACAATAAAAATTAATGTTTTTGTTTCAAGTTTTGCCCCTAAAAAGTACCATTTGTGAGCTGTGACGCAAGCCATATACGCGTATGCGAAATGTCTGTGAGAAGTGGGTAAAGTAAATGGGGTTAATAATCCTACTTTCCGCATGACTTAGATTTGTAGTATTTTATACAAATTTATGGCAGAAATTTTTTTATCTAACTTTATTTTTTTGTGGGAAAATACTGATTAAGTTTAGGCAAATTGATACAAACTGCTGTGAAAAGTATGGATTGCTTTGATTCACCCATTGAAGAGATATTTGAGGATGAGCTGCGCCACGGATTTTTTAACCACACTATATATTTGAGGGAGATGTGGCAATAAATGGGTTAATTAGTAGTGAAGAAAAAAAAAGTTGTGGATATAGTGGTCACCCCTGAGCTGACGCACTCGTCCATCATAACAATGCCTTTGTTCTTTCACGGTACCCCTGCACTCTTCGCCTCCCACCCCCTCCCCTTCCACCCTCCTCCTCCTCCACCTCCTCCCTCCTCCTCCTCCTC